CTGGAGAAAGCTAACACCAGGCAGCCCTTCCTTCTCTGCATTGGTGAGCAAAAGAAGAACATTCAGAGGTTCTTCATCATTGTAGACCAGAAAGCTATCCCATGTGATGCTCCAACTTCAGTGGCTGCTTTTGATGGGCTTTTCAAAGCACACTTTGTCTTCAGCCTCTCATATGATGAAGCTCTTTCCAGTTTCTACACCTTCATTCAAACCACAATCTACAACATTGATGTTGGAAACACAAAAGAAAGCCCTCGAGTCAAGGAACTGAGAGCACGTCTGCTGCGAGACCGTTAAATGCCCGCAAGGTCCACACGCTTTTAGGAGGATTTAAAAAAAAGACTGTTTGACAATGTTCAAATGCTTTGTTTGTAAAATGCACCACAAAAATTGTTCAGTTCTTTGTCAACATTTAAAATTTCATCATGGTTTATATCCAAACAAAAATCTGCGTTTAAAATGTGGAGAGCAGGGATGTTTTTCGTCTTTTTGTACTTACAATGGCTTTAGAAAACATCTTCATAATGTACATAGTCATTATCATGATAAAAATGTAGGGATGGAACAGGAAGTTGCCCAACAAACACATTCTCTAGGAGACTCTTTTAGTGATCAACCATCTACTTCTGCATCTGTATCACAGGTTCCCACTGTTATTTCACAGGACTCGCTTGTTGGAATGTGTGGATCTATTGTCGCTAACTTACAAGCTTCTGGTCTTACTGAAAGTGCTGTTCAAACAATAATTTCTTCTGCTGAGGAAGTTGTCAGTGATGTTCAGAGTCAAGCAAGAGAAGTAGTACTCCAAACATTTTCCCCTGATAGTAAGGAATCAGACATTTACAAAAGAGTTGAGCACAATTTAAACCAATTAGATAACCCCTTTTCAAAATTTAACACTGAGAAAAAAAGACAGAAATATTACGATGAAAAATGGGAAATAGTTGAGCCTAAAGAATTTGTACTTGGTGTAAGATTGGATACACGTAGACATAGAACTACAGGGGTTTATAGCGAAACACCTGTCAGAGACAAATACATGTATGTGCCCATCTTAGGTACAATACATTCAATTTTCAAGAATAAAGACATTAGAGAATGCTTCTTGCATGAGAAACAAACACAAGCTGGGTTATACAAAGACATTAATGATGGATTATATTTCCAAAACCATCCTCTGTTTTCACAACAGAAATATGCTCTACAGATTATACTGTATTACGATGATTTTGAAACTGCTAACCCATTAGGTTCGAAGAAAGGGATCCACAAACTGGGCTGTATTTATTTCACTATAAAAAACCTCCCACCAAAAGTTAACTCTGTGCTGATGAATGTACATCTAGCTGCTCTTTTCTACACAGAAGACTTAAAGAAATATGGTTTTGAAGAAATACTAAAGCCTTTGATTGATGACTTGAAAATTTTAGAAACTAAAGGAATCCTGCTTCCCTTTACTGAAGAGCCAGTGTTTGGTTCTGTTGTTCAAGTTACAGGAGACAATCTTGCTTTAAATGGCTTACTAGGTTTTGTTGAATCGTTTAGTGCAACAAACTGGTGTAGGTTTTGTTTAGTAAACAAGGAAGAAATTCAGTCTGTGTTTAATGAAGACAGTTCGGACATTGTTCTGCGCTCCAGAGAACTTCATATTGAACACTGTAATGCATTAAGTGAAGACCCTGCTCTCACTTCCGTTTATGGAGTTAAAAGATCTTGTGTGCTCAATTCATTGGAATATTTTCACAGCACTGACAATTATGCAGTTGATATAATGCACGATTTATTGGAAGGAGTTGTGCAGTATGAGCTCAAACTTTTTTTTCATTACATGATCAAAAATGGCTACATCTCCATTAGCACATTACTTGACAGAATACAGACGTTTAATTATGGTTTTGTAGAGCGTAAAAATAAAC